ATTGTAACCTTTGAATTATCTTTTTACAATTATCATCATCATCATTCATAATATTTTTTATTTTAAATTTTAGAATTTCTAAACTATTCTCAAATTAGATTAAGTTCCGTAAATAGCCTTTTAACACATTTATTTTGTATAGCCATAATATTAATATAAGAGTCAAATTTCTAAAAAGTTAAATCAGTTTCAAAATTTGAATGCAATCCATCCCTGCCTGTTCTGATTTCTCATCTCTTCTCGTTTCATTTTTACTCCCCATTTGTTTCCTTTTCTTTCCATTATTATTATTTTAATTTAAATGCGGGTTTCAATTTCAAAATGCATGCCATTCTTCTCTTTGATCCAAATTTTATATTCAAAACGCGTATCACACTCACAAGGGACATCTCCCTCATTGGTTTCTATTGGTCAACTCAAAAATCCATTAAACAAGGACAATATTATGTTATATATTTTTGTCACTTTCTTCAGATTTTCTCCCCTTATGTAAGTCAGGATGATGCTTATTAGCAAATTTATTATGGGAAAATAATAATTAGGAACCTTATAAAGACATTAATGACAATTAAAGACATCGAATTATTGAAATGTCATTGAAGGACCATGATTTTTATTTGCAATTAAAATATAAATAATTATTAAAATAAATAATGAAATGTGACTTATGAATTTAAGTAAAGAATTTAAGTAAAGTTACTTGTGAATTTATATAATATAACTTGTAAATAAATGAAAAATCAAGTATGAACGAATATATAGTTTTATGAAATTATATATCATCACTTATGAATTTAATGATTGTTACTTATGAATGTTAGGGAAGTTAACAATGAATTCATGAAACTTTAATTGTGAATGAAAATCAGAGTATAATTTTTCAATTAATGCATAACTTGTAATTCAGGGATAATCAGTTATAAATTTAAGGAACATTACTTTCAAATACATAGAACATCTATTGTGAATGAATATGTAATCTTAATTGTAAATCAATAATTTAGAGATCCATTCATGTTTTTAAATATATTTTCACAGCTGACTTTCCATACATTCATGAGTAACTTTTCAAAAATTCACAAGTGATCCTTCTTAAAATTTCAAGTGATGTGCAATATATTCACAAAATTATTTATTCATTTACAGTTGATTTTCCCTATATTCATAAGTGATTTTATTCCTTAAATGCACAATCAACTTTCTTTAAATTTGAGTGACTGTTATTTCAAGAATGAAAAATATTTTAATTATAAATAAAGACAATAGTCTTTTTCTATCATTTTAATATTTTGATATCTTCAATTGTCATTGATGTCTTTACCAGGTTTCTAATTGCCATCATGTCTTCATATCAATATAGTAACCTGCCTTTTTTTTAAAAAAAATATATATATTCAATTCCAGGCTCCGGTGTCAATTTTATTTAGTATAGTATGAGCTTGATCATTGACAAATGACAAACCACATTTCATACATTTAGCCAACAAAGTGAGTGCTGCAGAATTTATTTAGATATTTAGAATGGAAAATTCAGATTTTCTTGACTAAGACATTACGATCTTAGTTTGACAAATTAATAAGATATTGAAAGAGCCAGCGGACTTCCACAGGGGGTGACATGTAAGGCTGCAAATTAGTGCACGGCAGATAAGGATCATGGCAATTATTTGCATTAGATTGCATGGAACTTCCTGACTCTAAGTGATATTAAATTCTTAATGCATTTTCAGGAAGAGTTGAAAACAAAAAGGGGAAGAAAAGTCAGATTAGCTCTTTTCTCAACAAGACAATAGTAGTCATCAAGAGGAAAGAGAAAAACAATGAACCGACGATTTGAAAACTCATGCTTCATGAACCCATTTAAAAGGCTAAACCATAAAGGAAGATTGTGAGAAGGGAAGAAACAGATAGACAAAACACCCCCCCCCTCTGGTGTAGAATTACCAATCCAATGGGTGTCACAGTTTACACAGAATTTTTAGGAATTTTCCTCCTATGTGCTTACTATTTCTCATCTTCAGCCTCTGGCTTAGATATTCTTACAGCATCTGAGAGCATGAAAGATCCTGATACTCTTACCTCTAATAGCACCAATTTCACACTTGGATTTTTCAGCCCCAAGAATTCATCCAATCGTTACCTTGGAATTTGGTACATGTTAAAAACCACGTGGTATGGGTAGCTAACAGAAACGAACGACTCACAGATTCTTCTGGGATTCTCAAGATATCTGAGAATGGCAATCTGGTGATCCAAGATGGAAAGGAACATGTTGTTTGGTCATCAGATGGATCAGATAATGACACGTCCCACGTCATTTTGCAGCTGCAGGATTCTGGAAATCTTGTGCTGCGAAACAACGTCACAGGAAAAGTTATATGGCAAAGCTTCCACCATCTTTCTGACACAATACTGCAACACAATAATGATGGTTTTAATGCACAAGGTCAGAAATTCATGTTGACATCATGGAAGAGCCCTTTTGATCCATCCATGGGAAGCTTTGCTTCTTCTATGGAACCTAGTATAATTCCCCAACCATTCATTTGGAAAAACAGTCACCCATATTGGCGTGGAGGTCCGTGGGACGGTCGAATCTTCATTGGCATACCCAACTTGGAGAATCAGTATCTCAATTATGGATTCACTTCACAAAATGTGAATGGTACATTCTATTTATATTTTGTATATATAAACCAGTCACCATTATCATTCTATATGTTGAACTTTGAAGGGAAATTGGTATTTAATAGTTGGGATGACAATAAGAAAGAGTGGGTGCCTCAATGGACAGTGCAGCAATCAGACTGTGACATTTATGGCATTTGTGGATCGTTTGGAACTTGTGATCCACTAAGAAAGCCAATTTGTAGCTGTTTAAGAGGTTTTTTGCCAAGAAATGCAGAAGAATGGAATGAAGGAAACTGGACTAGTGGGTGCATAAGGAGGAAACCATTTAAGTGTGAGAAAGTTAAAAATGAAGCCGAGAATGGATATGGTGATGATGATGATGGGTTTGTGCAATTGGAGAATGCCAAAGTTCCAGACCTGATAAATGGGACTTTCACTGTATCAGCATTACCAGATTGCAGAACACAGTGCTTGAACAATTGTTCCTGCTTAGCATATGCCTATGATGCTGGCATTGGTTGTATGATGTGGAGTGAAAATCTGATTGACATACAAAGTTTCTCAAGTGATGGTCTCAACCTGTACATTCGTCTGGCAAATTCAGAACTAAGTAACGCATCAATTTCTTTGCTCAATGCTTGAAATCTAATCCCTCAACTTATTGAGACTAATGATTTTGTTTTAATGTATTGCAGAAGAAAAGAGTAAATTAGCAGTGATAATTTCAATTCCAGTGACAATAGGAACAATCCTTATCACAGCTTGTGCATATGTCATATGGAGACGTTCTGCTAAACATCAAGGTAACTATACTCAAGAATAAAGAAAAGCAATTGATTTGATCAAGGATAATTTAAACTAAAATTTTGCAGATCAATTCATTTAGCATTATTGATTATCTTGAGGTTCTAAGAAAACATCAATACATGGCTACTTCGGAAATTGTTCTATAATAATAACATTTTCCCTTTTGTGAACTTGGCATACGACAACAATTATGGTATAAGAGAAGATTAATTTTCATTTACCAATGTGGTCTTTCACTTTCAACTACTGAATCTGAAGTAATTTTCAATTGTAAAAGAAATGACGATACAGTAATGTGTTATCAAAATGGAAACTTAGAAAAACGCCAACGTTAATACACATAGTTGATTCAACTTTCAGTTTAATTGATTTTGCATGGTATTTTTCTCTAGTTACTACATTCTCTTTTCATATTGCCATTATATTACACTAGAAATGTCTCCTGCACATCAATGGACTTTTGGGTTTGCATAATAAAGCCACAAAAGAAGTCATCCAATAGATGTAGATTTTTTTTTTTTTTTTATGTGAACTGATTTTTTTTTTTTTTTTTTTTTGTATCATTCTGAATGCAAATGCTTGTTATTGCCAGAAACAGAAGAACCATTGACAATAGCAGGCAATGAAATCTCTAGTGAGATGCTAAAGGAACTACCACTGTTTGAATTTGAAAAGCTCGCAGTCGCAACCAACAACTTTACATTCTGCTAATAAGATAGGACAGGGTGGTTTTGGCCCAGTATATAAAGTATGCCTAGCCTTATAAAGCTCATCCTCCATGAACTTACAAAGGTTATGAAAAAGTTTTGAAAATATTCTTGTAGGGAAAATTGCAAGATGGACAAGAAGTTGCAGTTAAAAGACTTTCAAGTGTAACAGGACAAGGCCATGAAGAATTTATGACTGAGGTGGTGGTAATTTCTAAGCTTCAGCATCGCAATCTTGTGAGACTTCTTGGTTGCTGTGTAGAAGGAGGGGAAAAGATGTTAATTTATGAATACATGCCAAATAAAAGTTTGGCAGCATATCTCTTTGGTTAGTAAGTTTTACTTTTCATTATAAGGGCCCAAACAGTAGTTTTATGGGGGAACAAAAAAGATTTTAGTTAAAAGAATGCACATAAGTTAGGGAAGCAAGAGGGAATAGTTGCTTCATTGTTGTAGATTCCAGTTTCCTCAACATTAGTTTCTGGTGATTCAACAAGCGAATTTTCTACTTGGGATATATTGCAGATCCACTCAAACAAGATGTCCTTGATTGGCAAAAGCGTTATCATATAATTGAAGGAACTGCCCGAGGTTTGCTCTATCTTCACAAAGATTCAAGACTAAGAATTATACATAGAGATCTCAAGGCAAGCAACGTCTTATTAGATCAAGAGCTGAATCCTAAGATATCAGATTTTGGTACAGCAAGGATTTTTGGAGTTAGCAAAGATGAAGGCTATACAAGAAGATAGTTGGAACATAGTAAGTTAACCTTTCTCGTTGTATTTAGCATAGGAATCTGATATTCTCCAAGAGCTAACTGCTTCAATGTTTAAATGCAAGTGCAGCGGCTATATGCCTCCAGAATATGCAATAGAAGGCATTTTCTCTGAGAAATCAGATGTCTTTAGTTTTGGAGTTTTGCTATTGGAGACAATTAGTGGGAGGAAAAGCACAAGCTTCTACAATGATCAGCAAGCTCTAACTCTCATAGGATTTGTACACAGTCTATTTCTAAAATTTAACTTTTTCATATATTAGACTTAACATCTAAAGCTTATGGTTATTTTTGTGTTTACAGGCATGGAAACTATGGAATGAAGACAATATCATGCCCTTAATAGATCCTAAGATACATAAACCACAATTTGTAAAGGATATGATGAAATGCACACATATTGGATTATTGTGCGTGCAAGAACTTGCAAAAGACCGACCTAACATGGATTCTGTCATCTTAATGCTGCACAGCAAGATTGTCAATTTGCCTTTCCCCAAGCAACCAGCCTTCATCAATTGGCAGGCTGCATTTGCAGAGAGTTCCGAAAATCAACAAAAATCTAGCTCCAATTATCATGTCACTATCACAAACATCCAGGGTAGGTAGAACTATCTGTTATTTCACTTGTAATCATGTTTTGGATGACTTCTTTTATCACGACTTTGTAGTGCCTTCAGGACTTGAGCAATGTAAAACTAACTCTTGTGTGAAAATGTAATTGTAAATGGTGAATTGGCCCCTTGTAATTCAGGCACTGCTATGTTTTAAAATCTATGGAGAATATGCTTCCAATTGATCAATTCAATGGAACAGATAAAAATTTAAATAGGAATGTAGTTCTTAGCAATTAGCAAACCAAACTGTTAGTTAACACCATGAGTTGTAGCAGTCTCATGAAGATAAGTAATTCTGGATTTTCTTTGTAGATCTAAATAATCAAACAAATTTTGATTTCTCATAAATTATAACATAATTTCATATTTGTAATCAAGTTCTTCCGTCTAAACTTATATTCAATCCTCTAATTACTTATATCATTATGACATTCTTCAATCAAAATCTGATAAATTTATAATTTTGTAAGTGACATAATGGTGATTGCATAATTTTTGCTATTAAGTGCATGGTTTTTCAAGTAACATTTCATTCCAAATCCTAATAATAAAGATATAGAGATTCAGCGTCGTCAACATAAAATATTATTTATAGAAAACTACATTTTTCACAAGCCATGAACAGTAAGGTTGATTTCTCAAACTCATTGAACTCAAATCCTTCCACAATCATCATTTACATGAAAGCTACAATTTCCAATACTACAAAATAACAACAATAAGCCTTATCCCACTAAGTGAGATTGGCTACATGGATTATACGACGCCATTGTACTTTATCATTTATTAAAATTTTAGAAATATTGTTAATAAGAGGTCTTCATCAACAACTTTCAAAAATGTTCTCTTTGACCTTCTTCTACCCTTTTAACAAAGTTCAAAGTTATCTATTCCACTCTCCTCATAGGTGCCTCCTGTGATTTTCTCTGTACATGACCAAACCACCTCAAACGATTTTCTATTATTTTTCCTTTAATAGGAGCGACACCCACTTTTTCCTGAATGCACTCATTTCGAATTTTGTCTTTATGTGTATGTCCGCACATCATCTCAACATTCTTATAAAATTTTGTTGAATCTCACATGGATACAATTTCCAATAATTCAAAAATTAATCAGATATCTATTCACTATCGGCCATTATAATAAGTTGAAACTGCCTACTCTTTCTCTCATATTTTTACCCAGACATCTTATAAGAACAGAGACCCAACAACAAGACTTGACCACTGAACAGATGAAACCGCTCTGTGAGATAAATTTTATCTGTCTTTAAGCTTTGAAATTGGTAACACCTCGTTATAAGCCTTGCAAACTTTTAGTCCATAATCATTCAACCTTATCAAGAAGATCACATTCACCTCATGTATTTCTCAGCTAATATCATCTACCTTGTAACCTGAAAGGCTCAATCTAAGCCCCCAGCCTATCTGTGTGTCTCCATGTGTCCTGTTGCATGTCATAATCATTCGGCATTACATGCTATTTAACCACTGCTTGATTGCCAAAACTGTCCTGATTTGCATGTGCCCTCAAGAATTCATTCATATCAACTCTCTCTCTCTCTCTTTCTCATAGCACAAATAACCTACTTGTTAATGGCCTCCTCAATTCATCTCCACCCTCTGCATTCAAAGCACAACGGCTATAAGAGCATTCTCAATCTTTCTCCTCCTTAATAAACCCTGTCATTGTCCTCATCCGACACTGTCAATCCCCAAAACACCAAAAATATCATCTTCCAAGCATTATACTTCCAAAGAAAATCACAACTTGAACATCAATCACACTGTTGTTTCACCCCATGAGAAAGCTGTGTCCTTAGCATAGACTCAATAGCCTGTGAAACCACAAGGAGTTTTGGGAGCTCATGCTATGTAGGTACAATAATAGACAACAAGGACCAGCCCCTTCATCAGCTTGATGGTATCTTCCAAAACATTAGGAAGCTCAAGTCAAGCTTTGAGGTTTTAAGAAAGGGTAGGAACTTCTATATTATTCACTTTAACAACACAAAGGCTTGCCACAATAGTGTTACACAGACATTTGGCAGGGGTACTGAGAAACAAGGTAGGGAAGATGATGTGATTTGATCTCAAATTATGATTTGGGTGAAAGTCCCAAGAATTAAGAATTAGATTGATGCACACAGCATACATCCTAGTATTAAAGTTGACGAGAAAAGCATATGAAATGTACTGTTTTCTAACATTAGTTGACGAGAAAAGTTCTTCTAAACATGTACTGTTTTCTAACTTATGTATTAAAGTTGAATTGTTTTGTATTTCTAAACTGTATTTTATGAAATAATTTGGAAAGCAATTGATTCACATAACAGCAGATCATGAAAACTATATCCATAGCCCTAAATGCTATACTTTGGTAAAAATAAGTGAGCTAGAAGACGAGTTTGTTTAAAATGTTTTCCTACTTACAAGTGATCAACATTGGTACCATAGGCATAAATCAAGAAGGATACTATGGTTATTAGAAGTTGGTGGCTATGATACCAACTTCCAATTTAATTTACTTTATTTTAAAAGTTTAATTAAAATGATTAGAATAATTGTTTGCAGTTAGTCATACTTAATTTATATTTATAAATTTATTTATATTATATATTAATAATTATCATATTTACAATCTAATTACTTAATTCTAATCCAATATTAATTTTAAATAATTATTAAGTAAATTAGAAGTTCAAGCCATAGACATCAACTTCTAATAACCATACGGAAAATTTGTGTCATTGAATTTAGTTACATTTCATATAAAATCATCCACCATGCATTTAATGATTAAAAGAAATAATTATGCTATAGAAAAGACGATCTATTAGTCTCAAAAACGATTTTAATTTTTTTTAACAAGAAATGCTCAATTTGTCTCTGAACAACCACATATATCCCTTCAATAGAGGGCATGATATACATCTTCATTCAAATGTACCTCTTCCCCTGTTAATAAGAAATAATAATAGGATATTTATGTTCGCAAAAATGCATTAATAGCTGCAGAATTCTCAACTATAGGTGTATAAAAAAAAAAATCAAGCTAAGATTGGGCTTCCTAGGAGGGGGGCGGGGAGTTTACAAATGGCGGCTGATTTCGTTTCCTTCTTATTATAATGCATTTCAAAAGTTAATGAACTACTCGAATTGATTCATCAAGAAGCAATGTACACACGAAGTGTCAGCACCATACCAAAAAAAAGAAAACAAAATGATTGTATTAGTATAATATTTGCGTCAAAAACCAGAGCCAGGAAAGAATGGCAATAAACTCGAACAAAGTAAGGGACTGGAGAATTAAAAAGAAAAGAGGGAACTCATCTGAGAATGGAAGAATCGAAGTATAACGAGGCTTCCGTTTTGGTTCATCGAAAGCCTCTCAAGCAACTCGGGCTCCGATGAAGAACAAAGCCGCAATCAACGAAGCAGCCATTTCGCGCGGCGTGCTTTGATGGTAAAAATACATTTGATTGCGACGAAAACTACAAATGAATTGTTAAACCAAGGAAATGTTGGGCAAGAGAAGGAGAAATATGCCCGTTTGGCGGGATTTCCCCCCGGGGGGGGGGGGGGTGAGGGAAATGGAAGTGTGATATTTTCTATGTACCATTATCATTTATTTTTGTAGGTAAGCAATGAGGCAACAGGGGAATATTAATAAATTATGACTATATTGGTAAAAAAAATATTAAAAAAACCTATCTGTTGGCTAAATTTCTTGAGTGTCTCACTCCTTATAAGTATCAAATGTGCCAGGAGAACTAAGTTCTCAATGTTTGTGAGAATCCGTGATTACAAGTTCTCATAATTTTTTATCACAATTTCCTTAAAATGCTTTAACAATCATAAATAATGAATGACTTTGCAAGAAAGTCACTATTCACTATTTGTAAGTGAGTATAAGTTTGGGAAATGAAGGTGCTTCGATAGTTAGAGTTAAAAATTAAAGTAATGTATCTAGTTATAAGATATCACATGAGGTGAAGTTTTAAACTGTTTGAGTATTGGTTGAATTTGATTGATTGAATGGTAATGCTGCTTTTAGAGCCATTTCCTTTTTATGATTGAGTGGTTACTTTCTTTCAAATTTAAATTTTGTAGCATCCTCAAAGTTAAAAGAGGATTAATCAAATTAAGCAAGGGGTTTAATTAATTAATTAAGGTCTTAATTGGATTAATTAAAGTGGATGATAACCTACATGGGAAGTAAAAAAATAGATCATAAGTGTTATTAAGCCACCTTGAGCCCAATTAAATGGGCTATTTTATGGTTTTTCATTTGGTGTCATCCGTCATAGTGGGTGAAACAATGCATCATGACAGACACATCATATTTTAAATTTCCTAATTTGCATTTTGAATTAGAAATTGATAGAAAGAAAGAGTGAAAGAGAGAGGGTTGGTGGAGCTCTATTAGGGCTTGTATGAGGTGAAGTTGGGATGCCTTGTGGAGCTTTAGATCATCTGGGTAAGCTTCTACAAGCACTCTTCTTCCTTTTTATCTCTTTTTTCTTCATTGTTTTGGGGTTGTTCTTGAGGAGCCTGAAAATGGAGGATAACCCCACCTATTTTCTAACTCAAATGGGCTTGGTTAATGATTATCTAAGTGTCTAAATATTGCGTTATGATAATAAGAATGACTTATGGTATTAACAATGGCTTTAAGACTAACCCTAATATTGAGTAATTAAGTTTAACCTAATGAGTTAGTTTGATAATGATGATTAAACCTATGAGAAGTTAAATAAATTCATGGAAGTTAGAAATGAGGTTGTTTATAGTTGATGACAATAATGGCAGTCTTGGCCTTACTTATGATTAAGAGCTAAATAATGACAATTAGTCATTAATAATGTCTAATCCTTACCCTGAAGATCCCTCTAAAGTCATCTGCTAGCTAGTAGGGCCTCGCCAATTTTTATGGTAAGAACAAGTCCGAACCTAATGAGAAGGAGCACATCTTATCCCTCTGGGTTCT